TCCTCCTCCTCCTCCTCCTCCTCCTCCTCCTCCTCCTCCTCCTCCTCCCCTCCTCCTCCCCCTCCTCCTCTTCGCCGCGCGACCGTGGCCCGCGGCCACCGCCCCCGGGGAGGACTGGGGGCAGGCCCAAGGCGCGGGGGCGACGGCGGGAGCCGCCCTGGGCCGAAGGCGTCGCGGAGGGGTCGCGGAGCGGTCTCGCGAAGTTCGGGCGCGGGGGAGAGGGGAGGGGGGTCGCGGAGCCCAGACTCTCACGAGTCACGGAAAAATCACGACGGGAGGTTCTTCGCTGTTTTCTGCCTCTGGGGGCCCTTACCAGCCCTCGGGACCGCCAAAAAACGACTCAGGATGAAAAGCCAGTCCCGGGGAAAGGGTCCGGACCTCTGGGGGGCGGGACATGAAAAAATCATGACGTCGGGGGTCGCGGAGGGCGGAGAGGAGGGGGGAGACGCGGCGAGCAAACGGGGGATCGCGGGCGGAGCCAACCCCGGGGTGGTCGCGGAGGAGGTCGAGGGAGGGGGGGGGGAGCGCAGGGGGGCGGGCAGGGCCCAGGGGGGAAGCGGGAAGGAGCGGGCCCAGGGGGGAAGCGGGAAGGAGAGGGGGAGGGACGCGAGCTGGGCGCGCTCGCGCGATGTCTGGCATTCTTCTACCCGTCCCACCGATTCCTTCCAATTTCGGTGATGTTTCTCCATCGCAAAACGTAGAACCCTCCAAAGGACCGCGTCATGTTGCGCGCACTATGAGAAGGGGAGCTGTGTACACTGGAGGGGGAGGTGGCAGGTGAGCAGGAACGAGGATGAGAAGGAGCAGGACGAGACAGGATGAGGACGAAGAGGAACTGCACCAGCAGGAGCAGGAGGAGCGGGAGGAGCAGGAGGAGCGGGAGGACCAGGGAAAGGCGGGGCAGAGGAGAGGAGGCCACGACGAGGAGGAAGCGCTCGGAACTGGAAGCGTGGCCGCGCTGGGGCGAGAGCGCCGTTCTGAACGACGGGAGCAAAGCGCCGATCCTAGAATGAGGCCAACGCTGCAGCGGGGGGGCACCATTTTGGAAAGACCGAGAACGGGTGGGTGGGAAAAGACCAAATAAAAACAGTACGGATCAATCCTGCGTAAACACACACACACACTACGCGGAGGGGGGGGGGCACGCCACTCTCTCAGACCGTCTTTGGAGGAGTGACGGGGAGCAGTATTCATATCGAGTAAACGTAAAGGGAAGGGGGGGGGGGGGGGGCCGAAAGAGGGGATTGGCGAGGGAGGGGGGGGGGGGCGTGGAGGGAAGTGGTATGTAGATTGAATAATTGTCAGGAGGGGGGGGGCCGAAGGAGGAGGTTGGCGAGAGAGGGGGGGGCGGGCGAGGAGGGGGAAAGGGAAAGGAAGGGCGGCGGAAGAAGAGGGCCAGAGAAGCGTGAGGTTGAAGGGAGGAGGGGTCTCGCGCGGCGTGAGGTGTTGACCCCGGATGAATTCTTTTAACACTGAGATTGTACATAGTCTAACCCTGAAATGAGACAGATCGCCCTTCTTCCAGGAAAGGAGGAGGAGGAGGAGGACGAAGAAGAGGAGGAGGATGGGGAGGAGGAGGAGGAGGAGGAGAAGGAGGAGGAGGAGGATAATGAGGAGGAGCGAGGAGTGAGGAATGAGGAAAGAGGAATGAGGAATGGGGACTGATGAGTGGGAGTGAGGAGTGAGGAGAGAGGAAGAGTGAGGAGGGAGGAAAGAGGAGGGAGGAGCCAGGAACGAAGAGGTGAGGAGGCGGGAAGGTGAGGAGCGCGGAGAGAGGTGCAAGGAGAGAGGCTCGAAAGGTGCGCCCCCGCCACGTCTGGCATTCAACCCCTCCCGTCCAACCCGTCCTATGGAGCTGAATCCGTTTCTGTCCGCCGACTGGGGTGTCCTAGACGACCTGGACCCCCCGAAAGGTCTCATCGCGTGATGCGCAATCAGACAGGGGGGCTTCATAAAGTAGAGGACGGGAGGAAGAAGAGGAGGAGGAGGAGGAGGAGGAGATTCGAGCGTCGAGGGGAGGAGGAGGAGGAGGAGGAGGAGGAGGAGGAGGAGGAGCGGGAGCATGAGGAGCAGCAGGATCAGCTGCAGGCGGAAGAAGAAAAAGAAGGGAGGCTGCAACGACGAGGAACGGGTCGGATCCAGACCGGTGCCCCGCGCCTGGAGCGAGAGCATTATTCTAAACGACGGAAGCAAAGCGCCGATCCTAAAATAAGGCAAACGCTGTGACGGGGGCACCATTTGGAAAGACCGAGAACGGGTGGATGGGGAAAGACCCCAGAAAAACAGTTCGGATCAATGCTGCGTAAAAAAGTACGCGGAGGGGGGGCACGCTACTCTTTGGCCGTCTTCAGACGAGTGAGGGGGAGTAGTGAGGGCCGAGAACGCTCTGATCGAACAAACATATGCAAAACACCATCCTGAAGGCCGGTGCGTGGAAAAGAACACGCTGCACGAACGTCGACATCTCTGGACAGTGCACCAGGAGGAAAGAGAGAGAGAGAGAGAAAACAAAAAAAAAAAAAAAAAAAAAAAAAAAAAAAAAAAAAAAAAAAAAAAAAAAAAAAAAAAAAACAGAGAGAAAGAGCAGTCATCTCTAAGCTTGGAAAGGTGAGTGAGGCAGGAAGGAATGAGAAAGGAGGGAGAGACGATAAGTAAAGAGGGATAGAAAGGAGAGCGACAGAGAGAGAGGTGTGGAAAAAAACGAATAAGAGGTAGAGAAAGTGAGAGAACGAGAGAAACAGAGAGAGACACAAAGAAAAAGGGGGAGAGAGAGAGAGAGAGATAGAGAGAGAGATACAGCAAATCCGTGTAAGAAGGATGCGCAGTAGGGATGCAAGGACCTTGGAAAGTCATGTTAACGTTTTTCTAACGAGGTTGGCCAGCGAAAATTACCAAGGATGGACCGAAGGGACAAAGATGCAAGAGCAGCCTTGAAAAAGCCGCTCATCCTTACTATGCGGGTTGGCTGCACAAAACAAGGAAAGAGTAAAGAAACAACAAAAACGCAACAACCAAATGAAAACATAAAAGAGAGAGAGAGAGAGAGAAACAAACAGACGGAGAGGCAGAAAGAGAGAGAGAGAGAGAAAGAGAGAGAGAGAGAGAAAGAGAGATGGAGACAGAAAGAGAGAGAGAGAGAGAAGAGAGAGAGACGGGGTCTGGGCAGAAAGAAAAAGGAGAAGGAGGAGGAGGAGGAGGAGGGGGAGGGCGAGGAGAAGGGCTGAGGAGGAGGAGCAGGAGAAAAGAGAGCAAGAGGAGCAGGAGGAGCATCAGCAACAAGGGGAGAACGAGGAAGGAGGAGGAGAGGGAGGGAGGAGGGCGGGGACGAGGACGAGGAAGAAGAGAAGCAGGAGCAGAAGCACGAGGAGGAGGAGCAGGATAGGAGGAGGAGGAGGTGGAGGAGGAGGCTGAGGAGGGGCAGCAGCAGGGGGGGCTGGAGGAGCAAGAGCAAGAGGGACGCCAACCAGATGCCAGAGAGCAGGGGGTTCTGCCCTAGGGTGGCGCGATTGCGCACCCCTGGCAGTCTGTTATGAAAACCAACCGAAAATCCTGAGCGCAGCCAGTTGGAAGCATCTGGCGAAGCACACGTTGTGCATGACATAACACAACATGTTTCACTCACTCCGCGATGGACAAAACTCCTTTTGGCAAACCACCCTTTTCTGAAAACGGCCTAGGACCGAAACCGACGGACCTGGACCCGCAAAAATGACGGCAGCGACGCCATCCCGCGAGCTGAAAATGGCCAATTCGCCAATCGGCGCGACAGGTTAGGAGGTCTACCAACCTCCGACTCACACTGTCTATTGTAACTCACAGTGTCTTTTCGCCCACTTGTTTTGGTTCCCCTCGTAGCGTTTCGCTGGAGGGCTTTGCTAGAAGCAACGGAGGACAACAAAATAATCACAGCGCGAGGAACAACAGAGCCCGAGACCGCCCCGTGAGACCGCCCGGTCCAAAGAGGCGGTCCTGCATCAGTTTCGCCTGAGACTTCCTGACAAATTGTTCAA